TGTTCGTTAGTTGGTTGTAAAGCGCTGTTGTCTGTTGTGGGTTTTTGTGGTTGTGCCGCATGCGACGTGCTTGTGCAGTCTTCTTTTGTTTGCATCATAAAGCAGATCATGGCCGGGCAGCAGATCAGCAGCTGATAGGCAAAACAGCAGATCAGCAACATCTAGGAAAGACAGCAAACTAGACCAGCTTACCGGCTTTTAGCAGCACGTGTGCCGTGGTGTGGTGTATTGTGCTGCATGACAATGTAACTATTTTGTAAGTGTCGATTTGTAAGATTTTATGTTGCATAATTCATATTGCATCCTGAATAAATTAATAATATTTTACTCATGATTATTTCCTTAAAGCATTAAAGATAAATTGTACGTCAAGTAGATGTACTGTACAATTTTGTTGTTTATACGCAATATACATTAAAGTAAAGTTTTGTATAATGTATTATCGTTACGTGATGCTTCCGACGTCAGCGTGTCGTCCCCAGCGGGATCATTGTGTGCGTGTGTGCGTGTGTGTGTGCGTGTGTGTGTGTGCGTGCGTGCGTGTGTGCGTGTGTGCGTGTGTGTGTGTGCGTGCGTGCGTGTGTGTGTGTGTGTGTGTGTGTGCGTGTGTGCGTGTGTGCGTGTCTGTGTGTGTGCGTGTGTGTGTGTGTGTGTGTGCACGCGCACGCCTGTATACGTATGTGTGGGTATGTGTGGGGGTGCTACTGTTTTTACTTGTGATGGAGAATTTCCAACTGCCCGCGATCCGCCTGTGTGTGTGCTTATTAGTACGTTTCTGCTCATGTTGTTTTGCCGTGCAAAGTCTGTGCTCGTTGCGTCCCCTGCTAGCTGATTAACAGCGTGCCTGTGTGTGTATTTCCCCGCCCACCTCCCGCCCGATCCCCCCGCCGGTCTGAGCGAGCCTGGGCGAGGACTTCCAACAGGACAACATGTATCGGCGCGACGAGCCGTCGCCACCGCCGTACATCGCCGTCATGTGTGAGAATGTAAGTACGAGAGGGGCCTCGTTTCACACGTCCCCATGCCGTCTTGCAACGCTTTGCCATAGCATGTCGGATTTGGGATGCCGGATTTGGATTGCCGACCACCAATCAATCTGCATCATCAACCCTTTGTTGTGGTATGCATGATGGCATGGCATGGTCGAGGGTCGTTTGGTTCCATCTCTTGAGTTTTGTTAATATCTGTTGCGAATTCGGCCACTCCGAAACCGTTTCGTAGTGTGTATGCAACCCCGTCATCCCCGCCCGAATCCCCTGATCACTCGCTGCAACAACACCTGCCGGGTCTGGGCCGCCACCGTCATTTTCACCATCAGCATCACCGTCGACGTGGAAGACATGCCATTTTGATCGCCGTCGGCGTCTTGCCGTCGGCGTTTTGACGTCACGGGGTGTCGTACCACCGGTGAGTCTAAGCTATACTTAAATGCATGCCTTGTCTGTTCTGTGCATTTCCTTGTGGACGTTGCCTTATGTACGTCATTGTACAATTTTGCAGTGCGTCACGTCTTGTTTGTTAGTTGGTTGTAAAGCACTGTCTGTTGTGGTTTTTTGTTGTTGTGCCGCATGCGACGTCGGCGTCTCGCCCTGGACGTCTCGCCCTGGACGTCTCGCCCTGGACGTCTCGCCCTGGACGTCTCACTGTCGGTGTCTTGCCGTTGGCATCTTGCCGTCGCCTTCTCGCCATCGTTGGCATCTTTTAGTTCTTGTCGTGAATTTCCCTCCCCGGCCGCCGCTGCGGCTCTTCTCCTCTGGGCTTGCTGCCACCGCGACCTTTTTGCGGTGCATTTCCCTCCCCGGCCGCCACTGCGGCTCTTCTCCTCTGGGCTTGCTGCCACCGCGACCTTTTTGCGGTGCATTTCCCTCCCCGGCCGCCGCTGCGGCTCTTCTCCTCTGGGCTTGCTGCCACCGCGACCTTTTTGCGGTGCATTTCCCTCCCCGGCCGCCGCTGCGGCTCTTCTCCTCTGGGCTTGCTGCCACCGCGACCTTTTTGCGATGCATTTCCCTCCCCGGCCGCCGCTGCGGCTCTTCTCCTCTGGGCTTGCTGCCACCGCGACCTTTTTGCGATGCATTTCCCTCCCCGGCCGCCGCTGCGGCTCTTCTCCTCTGGGCTTGCTGCCACCGCGACCTTTTTGCGGTGCATTTCCCTGCCCGGCCGCCGCTGCGGCTCTTCTCCTCTGGGCTTGCTGCCACCGCGACCTTTTTGCGGTGCATTTCCCTCCCCGGCCGCCGCTGCGGCTCTTCTCCTCTGGGCTTGCTGCCACCGCGACCTTTTTGCGGTGCATTTCCCTGCCCGGCCGCCGCTGCGGCTCTTCTCCTCTGGGCTTGCTGCCACCGCGACCTTTTTGCGGTGCATTTCCCTCCCCTGCCGCCGCTGCGGCTCTTCACCTCTGGCATTGCTGCCACCGCGGCTTTTTCCTCTCATCACCCTTCTGCTTTCAAACCTACCATGCACAAAAGAAAGATGAAAAGGGAGACATCCTTGCTCAAACCACGACATTCGTTGCAAAGCAGGAAAATAAGGGAGTCCAAAGATATGGAGGATCGGTCGAGAAATATGGTTGTCATGGTGGAAGTTGTCCGTTGGAGATATGTTTGGTTGGAAGAGGTTGGCAGATGTTGATCCAGTTGGTGGACAGTTGGTGGACAGTTGGTGGACAGTTGGTGGACAGTTGGTGGACAGTTGGTGGTGACCGGCCGGTTTTATTGTCGTCGCTGGGTTTTGTGGATGGTAGCTAGCGTTATCTAACCAGCCAGCAGCTGCAGCCAGTTATATTGCCTAAATGGGCTACGCTACGCAGCTAGCAGCCAGCAGCCAACAACCAGCATCAGCGAGTGTGCGCGTGTCACGGCTGTTGCCGCGCGTGTACAGTCTGTCGTGTTTTCGTTTGTGGTGCCCACAGCCCTGGTTGTGCACAATTGATTTTCATTTGTTTGGGGATTACCTAATTAAGGGGAGACTACACCTTATTAAATAATAGATGAATAAATAAAGCTGAACCATGATATCTATTTCCGCTTTATTTATTTACTTATTTATTTACTCTGTTTTGAATATCTTATTATAGTTTAGTAATGCGCCTCAGCCTAATAAGCTAAGGCGTGCATTAGGGTGCCGGGGTTGTAGAGGTTATGGGTTTTCCCAGGCCTTTGCACCTCCTGTCACCGTATTTTTACTTTTTTCATTATGTAGTCAGCAGCAGCAGCAGCAGCAGCAGCCGGCAGATCAGCAAGCAGCTGCAGCAGTGGCCATGGCCCGGGCCCTTTATCGCCAGGGTTTGCGGCAGCTTCCCTGGTGCCAGGACCCGAATGCAGGGTCGACTGGCTGCCGGGACTCGGGGCGTACGAGTCGTCCGGCCTGCCGGCACCCGCACGCAGGGGCCGGCCGTACTTTTATAACGCCCGTCTCAGGTGGGTGGATGGGTGGGTGGGCGACGTGGGTGTGGGTGTGGTGCGTACTTCGTGACTTGGGTTCAACTAGTGGTCGCGGAAAAAGGCCGCAGGGCCGCAGCGCACGTGTCGCAACGAGGCCTTGTGACTTTTGGGCAAAATAATGACATTTGGTGTTTTACCCCCTCCCCCCCGTGTATGCTGCCCCCTTACCTATCCCCTCTGGCCGTTTCCCCCTTTATCACGCACCTCCTCTTCAGGTGCGGCTGGGGCATCAACCTGTGCGCCCCAGTGGCACCGAGCGGGCGTTGCTGATGATGGGCCCGGCTGAGGTGGGTGCGGATGGGCTTGGGGTTTTGGTGCATGGGTTGTGCATGGTGGGGACCAGCAGCGGCACCCTTGCTTGCATCTGTCACCTAATTGTGTGTGTGTTAGTTGTGTCGTACTGCTAACCGTATTTTGGCCTCCCGCGCCCTTCCCCCGCCTTGTCCCTTTTCCTTCAGGTGCACTGCTGGGTGCAATTCCTCCGCACCCAGCTGCACCCAGCCGGGCGCCGCCGCTGCTGGCCAGTTGGCTAGCGGCGGCGGCAACGTTGGCGGCGGCATATAGACGCATCATCATCATGATCATGATCATCATCGTCATCATCATCATCATCATCATCAGTTGCCGCCATTCTTGTTGGCTTGATAACTTGTTGGCTGCATGCAGCGCCAACTACGAGCAATGACCGAACGAATGGTGTCGTACAATAAACGGCCATAACGACCATATAACGGTTAATAATATAATATCAATAAATGGCGAATACAGCAGCTCTGTAAACGATCGAGTGATCAACGTTAATAATGACCAACGGTTTCGGTTGGATGGTCAAATGGAATCAATGCAGCACGAGGACTTGCGCAGCTGAACTTCCAGTAATGGGCCCATGCAAAATGATCTGGGAGGTACCTGGGCGGATGTTGTCGGGGCCTGGGGTGGCCGGGCGCAACTCGGTTTGGGGTTTTGCCTAGCACAATGCGATTTGGGGGCATGGCCTGGCATGATGCGATTTGGGGGGCATGGCCCGGCATGATGCGATTTGGGGGACATGGCCTGGCATGATGTGATTGGGGGCCCATGGCCTGGCATGATGTGATTTGGGGGGCATGGCCTGGCATGATGTGATTTGGGGGGCATGGCCTGGCATGATGTGATTGGGGGGCATGGCCTGGCATGATGTGATTGGGGGCCATGGCCTGGCATGATGTGATTGGGGGGCATGGCCTGGCATGATGTGATTGGGGGGCATGGCCTGGCATGATGTGATTGGGGGGCATGGCCTGGCATGATGTGATTGGGGGGCATGGCCTGGCATGATGTGATTGGGGGGCATGGCCTGGCATGATGTGATTGGGGGGCATGGCCTGGCATGATGTGATTGGGGGGCATGGCCTGGCATGATGTGATTGGGGGGCATGGCCTGGCATCATGATATGGTTTAGGTTGAATTATTTCCTTAGTTAACCGTGCGGAGAGAAAGGATTTTGCACTCTGCGGTATGCCAGTGTTGTGATGCGCTTCCTGTGTTTGTTCTATTGTGCGTTCTGTAGTATGCATGTGTGTTGAGTAGTGTGCAAGTGTGTGTATGAGGTGTATGTATGTTTGTGTGCACATTTTTGCGTCAAACATGTATCCGTTCAGTTTTGCATGAGGAGGCTTTGCAACTGTATTGTTCCCGTCGAATCTTCACCGTCACCATCTTCTTCTTACCGTCGACGTTTTGCCGTCGCCATCACCTTCATCCCGTCGAATCTTCACCGTCACCACCTTCTTCTTACCGCCGACGTTTTGCCGTCGCCATCACCTTCATCCCGTCGAATCTTCACCGTCACCACCTTCTTCTTACTGTCAGCGTTTTGCCGTCGCCATCACCTTCTCCACGTCGAATCTTCACCGTCACCATCTTCTTCTTACCGTCGACGTTTTGCCGTCGCCATCACCTTCTCCACGTCGAATCTTCACCGTCACCATCTTCTTCTTACCGCCGACGTTTTGCCGTCGCCATCACCTTCTCCACGTCGAATCTTCACCGTCACCATCTTCTTCTTACCGTCGACGTTTTGCCGTCGCCATCACCTTCATCCCGTCGAATCTTCACCGTCACCACCTTCTTCTTACCGCCGACGTTTTGCCGTCGCCATCACCTTCATCCCGTCGAATCTTCACCGTCACCACCTTCTTCTTACTGTCCGCGTTTTGCCGTCGCCATCACCTTCTCCACGTCGAATCTTCACCGTCACCATCTTCTTCTTACCGTCGACGTTTTGCCGTCGCCATCACCTTCTCCACGTCGAATCTTCACCGTCACCATCTTCTTCTTACCGCCGACGTTTTGCCGTCGCCATCACCTTCTCCACGTCGAATCTTCACCGTCACCATCTTCTTCTTACCGTCGACGTTTTCACCGTCGCCATCACCTTCATCCCGTCGAATCTTCACCGTCACCATCACCTTCTTACACGCCGACGTTTTGACCGTCGCCATCACCTTCATCCCGTCGACTCTTCACCGTCACCACCTTCTTCTTACTTCAGCGTTTTACGTCGCCATCACCTTCTCCACGTCGAATCTTCACCCACCATCTTCTTACCGTCGACGTTTTGCCGTCGCCATCACCTTCTCCACGTCGAATCTTCACCGTCACCATCTTCTTCTTACCGCCGACGTTTTGCCGTCGCCATCACCTTCTCCACGTCGAATCTTCACCGTCACCATCTTCTTCTTACCGTCGACGTTTTGCCGTCGCCATCACCTTCATCCCGTCGAATCTTCACCGTCACCACCTTCTTCTTACCGTCGACGTTTTGCCGTCGCCATCACCTTCATCCCGTTGAATCTTCACCGTCACCATCTTCTTCTTACCGTCGACGTTTTGCCGTCGCCATCACCTTCTCCACGTCGAATCTTCACCGTCACCACCTTCTTCTTACCGCCGACGTTTTGCCGTCGCCATCACCTTCTCCACGTCGAATCTTCACCGTCACCATCTTCTTCTTACCGTCGACGTTTTGCCGTCGCCATCACCTTCTCCACGTCGAATCTTCACCGTCACCACCTTCTTCTTACCGCCGACGTTTTGCCGTCGCCATCACCTTCTCCACGTCGAATCTTCACCGTCACCATCTTCTTCTTACCGTCGACGTTTTGCCGTCGCCATCACCTTCTCCACGTCGAATCTTCACCGTCACCATCTTCTTCTTACCGTCGACGTTTTGCCGTCGCCATCACCTTCTCCACGTCGAATCTTCACCGTCACCACCTTCTTCTTACCGCCGACGTTTTGCCGTCGCCATCACCTTCTCCACGTCGAATCTTCACCGTCACCATCTTCTTCTTACCGTCGACGTTTTGCCGTCGCCATCACCTTCTCCACGTCGAATCTTCACCGTCACCATCTTCTTCTTACCGTCGACGTTTTGCCGTCGCCATCACCTTCATCCCGTCGAATCTTCACCGTCACCACCTTCTTCTTACCGCCGACGTTTTGCCGTCACCATCACCTTCATCCCGTCGAATCTTCACCGTCACCACCTTCTTCTTACTGTCGACGTTTTGCCGTCACCATCACCTTCTGTGTAATCTGCACGGGGGTACCTGGCGCAATGCGGTTCGGGGGTTTGCATGGAACGATGCTATTTGGGGGGTTAACTGGCATAATGCAGTTCGGGGGTTTGCATGGACCGTTGCTATTTGGGGGGTTATCTGGCATAATTTGGTTCGGGGGGTTTGCCTGGACCTATGCTATTTGAGGGGTTACCTGGCGCAATGTGGTTCGGTGGGTTTGCATGGACCGATGCTATTTGGGGGTTTGCCTGGTGCAATGTGGTTCGGGGGGTTTGCATGGACCGATGCTATTTGGGGGTTTGCCTGGTGCAATGTGGTTCGGGGGGTTTGCATGGACCGATGCTATTTGGGGGGTTAACTGGCATAGTGCAGTTCGGGGGATTGCATGGACCGTTGCTATTTGGGGGGTTATCTGGCATAATTTGTTTCGGGGGGTTTGCCTGGACCTATGCTAATTGGGGGGTGACCTGACATCATGTGGTTCGGTGGGTTTGCATGGACCGATGCTATCTGGGGGGTTAACTGGCATAATGCAGTTCGGGGGTTTGCATGGACCGATGCTATCTGGGGGGTTATCTGGCATAATTTGTTCGGGGGGTTTGCCTGGACCTATGCTAATTGGGGGGTGACCTGACATCATGTGGTTCGGTGGGTTTGCATGGACCGATGCTATCTGGGGGGTTAACTGGCATAATGCAGTTCGGGGGTTTGCATGGACCGATGCTATTTGGGGGGTTATCTGGCATAATGCAGTTCGGGGGGTTTGCCTGGACCTATGCTAATTGGGGGGTGACCTGACATCATGTGGTTCGGTGGGTTTGCATGGAACGATGCGATTCGAGGGGTTACCCGGCGCAATGTGGTTCGGTGGGTTTGCATGGACCGATGCTATCTGGGGGGTTGCCTGCCGCAATGTGGTTCGGAGGGTTTGCATGGAACGATGCGATTTGAGGGGTTACCCGGCACAATGTGGTTCGGGGGGTTTGCCTGGACCTATGCTAATTGGGGGGTGACCTGACATAATGTGGTTCGGTGGGTTTGCATGGCCCTATGCTATTTGGGGTGTGACCTGATGCGATTCGGGGTTTAGAATGGACCGATTTTATTTTAGCGGTTGCCTGGCGTGAAGCTTTGCACGAGGCTGCGACGTACGTGAGGCGCCTTAGCACGGTATCGTGCACGGTAAGTCTGGGCCGCAAGCTTGGGGGGTAAACTGCCGTTCGCGCTCAAATGCAACCGTTAGTCGTTGGTATTGCCATATTTAACCGTTTCGTCTGTACTTATGCAGGGTCTCCACTTCCGCAGGCTTTCTGTTTGAAAGTTGCTCGAGTGCGCGGCCTCAGGTCTAACGAGGCTGCGACGTACGTGAGGCGCCTTAGCACGGTATCGTGCACGGTAAGTCTGGGCCGCAAGCTTGGGGGGTAAATTGCTGTTCACGCTCAAATGCAACCGTTAGTCGTTGGAATCGGCATGTTTAACCGTTTCATCTGTACCTGTGCAGGGTCTCCACTTCCGCATTGTGGAGCCCGCGGCAATAACCAAGCTATGTTGGTCAGCGGCACAAGAGGACGCTTCATTATGGCAGGCTTGCCAACTGTTTGCTTTTGCCATATATTTGGGTTTTGTGTTTCACATGGCTGTTGGCCATTTGAACGATACCCGCTTATTGGTCGGATAGGTTCATGACTTCATTGAGAAGGCGGGGATTTCCTTGCAGAGCATTTGCACAATGGGTCATATCGCGGGTAGGGAGGATTTTTGTTCGTGTGTGTGTGAGCAGCAAGTGGCGAGTTTGCTCCGCTTATGCAGACTTTGTCATTAGTCGCACCTCATGCATCAGGATGCTGCTGTCTTTGCTGCTCTAATACGAACGTAAGTACGAACGTGACCTCGTGTTTCAAGGGTGCAACATGCACACGATTTTGACCGAGGCCCCATCCCTAGCACTAGCCAGGTTCCTCTCGGAAGTCTGGGAGACCCGGCACGTTGCACTAAGGCGCTTCGTGCTCAAGTGGATGAGGGCGGACGATGATGGTCCACCACATAACCGCACTAAAAACGATTTATCGCCCATGGGGCCCCCGGCTTTTATGGACACCCCCGCACTTGTGCGGAACTTGTAACTTGTAACCTATCGTGCACACAAAGCAGAGGGTGGGCACGGACTAGGCTAGCACCCATCAGTTTACCGCCGGGGCTGGGGATGCCTCGAGGCAGTGTGGTTGTTACAGTGGGCTCCAGACTCACAAAGAGTACAGCCAGCGGGCGAGCAGGCACTGCACCTGATACGATGAGGGCAAACAAGACTCCCACCCAGACCAGACAACGCAAGTCACCTAGACAGCCAGAAGCAAATCCATTGTGATGGATTACCCTTGGTGCAAGTCCCCCCTAACGGTAACCAGGCATAGCGGTTGGGCCGCAGGGAGAATATGGCGCATGATGGCTTACATGCATCCGCGGCTTTCTATTCCCCGCTGTCGTACACGTCCGCATACACTCGACCATCCCACCAATGTGCTGTTGGCCATGTGGCCAGAGTTATCTGTCCTCACAAAAGGATCTTAGTCTCTCTTGAACTCATGCACTTTCGCTCATCAACGGCGCCGCCAACTCCAGTCCATGTCCGCTACAATTATAACTAGATCCATCACCGTCCATTGGCATGGGGGTGCTATCACCCTCTTTAGGTCTTGAAAGATCTTACGCCGCTCTTTGTCGGGATCGATTCTGGAACCTGCCAGGGAAACAATTTCGCAACCGTAAAATATTTCTGTGTTTGGAGCCGCTGATGTATTTTGATCAGGGACAGACCAGGTACCCTTTAACCCAGCGAGTTAGTCGGTGCCTTGCTGGGCTCAGCTGGGTCTGCATGCTGGCAGCCCTCCTTCCAAACAGTCAAAAGCCCAGCATGACGCCCAGCATGTACGGTGATCCCCCACACCACCAGGCACCAGGCCGCAATGCGGTTGAGGTCCAAGATTGCAGCCTGGACAGTTGTCCAGGCTGGCATCGCGGCGGATGGTGAGGCCGCTGGTGAAGCCATCTGTCGTATCCCACAGCGCGCGCGGGTCAACGAAGGGGATGGACTATCCACCGAGTCAATGGTGGGACATTGCCCTTGAGACCTTGTATGACAGCTGATGTCCACAACAACGAGGGAAAATGAATTACAGCAAGCCCAATGGAACAACGAAATTTTCCACCTTCCAATACAGGTACAAATGCATGCATTGCCACACACATGGAAGATACGACCCCGATCACATTCATCCATGACTCTCCGGATCGCAAGATGGATAGGTGCAACCCCACGTGTCTTCCGATGTCCTCTGATGCCCTCTTCGGTTTGGCAGCTTGAAACGCCTTACGATTTAACAGAGGCTGGCAAGTCTTCAGGACTGCATTTCCAAACCATGCAAGGTGCCTCGCAACAACCTCTGGCCTTTCCTCCTCAACAAAGGAAATCACAGTAAAAGGATCATGACGTCTTTTCAAAGTCCATCTCTCCTCTCTAACTGCCCGTCGCTTATGGGCCACCTTCACTCCCTCCCTCTCCAGTGCATAATGACGGTATTCTCACGCTATAGGAACGGATTGGACTAATTCCTTAGTCCACCGCATATCTGTCTGCAAAATGGCCTTGATACGCTCGCATTAGCTTCAGCAACCTCAAGAAGCCCCTGTTGCTAAGGTTTGGAGACTCTTATGAATCTATCCAGCAAGTGTGGGTGCAAATATCTAAAATCCATCACAGCAGGCCGATACAAGCAGTTCTCAGCGAGCAACCAGATGAGTGCCAGGAACCCAACGCTCTATCTCCACTCAAAGGAGCCCCTCTGCCACCATTGCTGCCTGAATCCCGCCACATACCGACTAGTAACGGCAAAACCGCTACACCTCCCGATGAACGCTATGCCAACTACTTACTACATATGCAACTCAGCAAAACGTGTACCACACCTCTCGCACCTTCTAATTGCCAAAAGCAATACAACATCGCTGAAAACTAATAACGAGGAATCCCCCGACCCTGATAGCACCTGATAATAACCTAGTGCGCCGCACTGCCCGCACAGGTGTCTCTGGTCCCATGGCGCTCATTCCGTCGCCTCCCCGGTGTCGCTACTCCATTGCCCTGACCCTGCTGACCCAGCTTGTCTGGGTGCCCGGGCCTTTCCACTCATTTGCGACCTCGCGATGAGACCGACACCAGCTCCTTGGTCGTGGTTGCCTTCGCACTGCCAGTGCCGTTGCGACTGCTGGCGGTGGCGGTGAGGCGACCGCTGCTGGTTCCGCGCCCGGTGGCTGCACCCGAGCTACCACCGCTGTTGCTGCTGCCCTGCCCCTTGGAGCCGCTGGCGCCTTCCGACAGCGGCAGACCCGCGCGTTGCCAATCACCGAGACCGCCCTGGAACCGGCGGGATGGGAGGGCACAGGGGAATCCTAGTGAGAAAGATTACGGAGTACAACATGTGATGGAGGTCGTGAAAGTGTTGGGGCCAAAGATGACCATGTCTTTTGGAGGCTTCTTCCACTCGACCGCCTGCCGTGCTCCCCTGAATCTGCTCGTTTGCACAGAGACTGCCGGCATGATTGATGAGCAGCAGCTGATCGACACTGTCAAGCCAACTACCGCCGAATCTCCAAATCCCTTCCTCGCTCGCTATCGTGCCCCTGCCTAACCCCTTTGTTTCTGTCCCTTACCTTCATGTGCAGTACCTTACCGTACCCTGCCTGCTGCAGGTAGTACAGTGCCTTCAAGCTCCTGGGGGTGAGGAGAGGAGGGTCACGAGGGCACTTTTACTACCACAGTACCAAACCACCGCACCCACCATCACGCAACATCGATCCTGCGATCCTGGGTCATTACACCTGACTAACAGCAACATAGGCAGCGCACATCGCTACTCTCCAGCATGCTCGACACAGCGCGATGATGCGATGTCGTATGGTATGGTGGGGTGTGGGGAAGGACATTTGCACTGTGAGGGCAGAATGCGCGTGGGGAACTGAGTCAGCGCAGTATAGTAAGGGGCACTGTGCACACCCTCCCGCCTGAAACAGCCCGGGGAGCTGAACCCCTATCTGTGGCCATTCAGCGCCTGCATCAGCCGCCTTCACTACACCCTGCTGCCGGCGGCTGATCAACGGCGGCGTCAACAGTACCCCTCGTTGGCTCACAGGCCGCAGCGGTCGACGTCTTCAACTATCTATCATAAAAGGGTCGCACGGCTTTGTCTCCTCCGACTTGTCCGACATATGGGGTATCACACCCGCCTTCCTGCCTGCCGTCCATCCCATTACACAACCCGCCACTCGGTCAACAGGACCAGGACCGTCTTGGCCATGACGCTGGGGACAGGATTGTGGAGCCACCCACCGCCATTCAACACCCCACAGCCAGCCAGCCAGCCAGCCAGGTGAGCCTCAGCACATCTCGCCCCGCCCTGTAATAAGAACCTCCTCGCAATCTGCAGCAATCCCCTAGACTTTACTCACCTGGACTGGAAGCCGAACTGGGTACCTGGCTTGTTCTCGATTGTGCCCCCCGTCTCACACATCACAATCACCTGAGAAGCCAGGTTAAGCAATCTATTCAGGAGTTGTATATGCAAATAGGGCGGTAGGTCAAAGCGAGGAGAGGCAACGCCAATGTGGGAACCATAAAACCCGTTACGGGAGGGACACAGGGTCGAGTCCGGCTGGCCCGCCCACGACTAAAAACCTATTCCTCCGTTCGGACTGCAAATGTAACCGGCAAAAATTAAAAATCACTGAGAAACACGCAATCCCCGCACTGCCGTACCGTGAACTGGCCAGCCAGTTGCTCACGCACCCTTACCTCCTTATTCTTAGGCACCTTGGCCGCTACCTCCGTCAGGAAGCTCTCGTTGAGCTCTAACAGGATCAGGCCAGTGCATGTGTGTGGAGGGGGGAGGGATGGGAAAGCAGAAGACAGATGCGGAATAGGAACACTAAATAATCAAGGTGAGTGCGGAAGGGGTTGGCTTGGTGGCTTCTTAAATTAAGGAGGCCAACCGTGAAGCCCCGCTAGGTGTAAATAATGTGGTGCGGCCCAGATACGATTCCCTCCACTGCCACCACCACCCCCCCCCACACACACACATAACATGCATAGCTGACATGTGCTATGGACCTTTCGTTTCATAACGTTCCACGGGTGTAATCGGACCATATGTGTCGGACATGAAGTGACATAACTGGCATGCTTCGTCTCTCACCCCAACAGGCCGCAAACATCTCTAGACAGTGGGTGGCCGCACGTTCGCGTTGGGAATCAGTAACCACTTGAGCAATGCCACGTGACACCTTGCATCATCACGCGCCTCAAGAGGGGCCCGGGTGCTCTCCAGTGTTCCCTCCCACCCTAGATTGACATCAACACCTCCTCCTCCAAAAGGCGCAGTAGTCTGCCCGCCGGTCCCCCCCGGGCATGAGCCCAACGGACCCCATGCAGAACTCCGCGGCCTTGGCATCTCGACTGACCCACCATCGCTTCCGAGCATTTGTATCCAGCAACCGCGCGACACAACATCTAACCACCCAAACGACTTCTAAACAAACCTACCAACAACTCGGACGAAAAAAACCTGAACGTGTATGTCGGGCTGTATATGTCATCTATGTATGCAATACATCTTCGCATGTCTTTGACCATTACATTATCTCAGTGGGTACTGGTGCTGTAATGCCGTCGGTTTAACCCTTGCGTGTGCAGGCGGAGGACTGGCGGAGTTCAGGCCACCCGCCCATTCATCTGCCACATCACATGTGTGACGCAACGACCGCAGCGACCGTGGATGCGACATCCCCAACCGCCCAGGGGTGCCATGGGCCCCAACCAAAGGGCCAAAGCTCCTACCTAGCTATCCAAATGTCCAGTCGAGCCGCTAGCCATGCACGCCACCCAATCCCACACCCACCCGTTCCGAAGATGCCGAAGAACGCGAATCCCGCCCGCCGGATGATGGACGCCAGGTCCCACCCGGCGATGGGCTGGTAGAGGGGAACGTTGGTGGAGGGAGCAGCGGCACGGCGGCCGTAGCTGTCGGCCAGGCGGACGTCCAGAATCACAGCGCTGAACAGGGGTGGGGTGGGGTGGGGTGGGGTGGAGAGAGCAAGGGAGTGTGAGTGCATGACGCCAGGGGAGACTGCGGACCCGCAAAGGGCGCCAGGCTTTGCATCAACTGCATGTTCCCTTCTTACAGCAGAACAATTCAGACCACACCGCATTGTAAAAAACACACCGACAGCCGTCCTGCATCCATCACAAACGAACCAGCTCTATTTTGGTGCTGAACAGCATTTTGTAGAAGACAGTACGGGAACAGGCAACCAAGGGCATGAACCGCACGACATAGCATCATGCAAAACCGCAAGAGCTGGATCACACTCGGCCCTTCCACCTACTCACCCCTTCTTGGCCTTGGCGTACGCCTCCTCGGCAGTCACCGTCTTGACCCCCCGGGCCGCCAGAGCCGAGTACATATCCCGCCAGTCCACAGGCTCCTGACGTGGGAGGGGAGGGGGAGGGGATCCACAGGGGGGATGGAGCGGGCGCGCTAGATGCAGCGGCAGTTGGCACACGGCAGGCAGACAGACAGGCGGACAGGTCACGAGGGTTACCAACCAACGAGACACCGCGAAATCGATTGCACACATCAGCCCGTAAGCGGCTCGAGGAAACTCCAACCGACGAACAGTAACAACGGATGAAAGCGGCGGCTTTTAAAGCGGGAACAAAAAATGAGAAACGTAGCGGAATGAAGAGGGTCAGGTCAGGGCCAAATTGAAGAGGAATTCGTAAGGATCGGGACAGAAAGGTCTGACAAAGCAAAGCAAGCAACATGACGCCAGAGAAGGAAATTAATAAGCCACCTTATATCCAGAAGGGTCAGTGTCATGGCATTAGTGCACCAGAGGATGGGAATGTGGGAGGGGACGCAATCATACGGGATGTGTGTTTTCGTGCAGAGCCAGGACAGCCCAGTAGTAGGAGAGGAAGGGCAAACCAGGAAGTATCAACAACACGCAATCATTCACACACACCCAAATCCTGCTCGCGGCTCGGATCAACAGGACACACCGGCGCACACATGGTCCTGAACAACTTAGCATCTCCGCAAACTCCCAAGTCACTGCATTGCCATATGCCTGCTTGAGCATCTTCTGCCGCAAGTCCCATCCCCACCTTGAACGCCTCCTTAAAGCGAGGGGCCACGAAGAAGGTGCCAACAAAGGTAGCCGCAGCAACACCCAGGGCGCCGTACGTGAGAGTCTCCGCAGAGGGACCCTCTGCAGAATTGGTCGACGCGGCAGTGATGCCGGCAAACAGGGCTCGCACATCGAAGCCGCCTGCCGCCACCGCTGCGGGCTCAGGGACGGCTGCGGCAACGGCTGGTACGACATCTTCGACCTGAGGTGCCACCGGTGCAGCAGCAACCGGGGGAACCGCCGCCTCTTCAGCCTCCACCATCGGCAGCTCAACCTTGGTCACCTCCTCCACCCCCTGGGTGGCCTCCACCGCAACCACCGGGGCCACCACCGTGACGGGCTCCGTAGCCACCAGCGGCTCAGCAGCCTGCTCAACCGCCTCGGTCGCCAATGCAGCGGCAACTGGGGCTTCCACTATCTCGGCCTGCGCCTCTTCAACCGCTTCCGCTGTCTTAACATCGGCGTCGTCGGTTGCAGCTGAGACCACCTGAGGAGTCAATGGCGCCTCCACCGCCTCCACCGTCTCTACCGTCGTCTCCTCCTGCAGCACGGCCTCAGTCTGGGCGCTCACCAGCACATCCTCCACTGCGGCCACAGGGCCAGCCTCTCCAGCGTCCATCTCTACCGCCGCCTCCGCGGGTGCAGCAACTGGCTCGTCTGCGGCGGCCTCAGACGCGGTTTCAGCAACGGCGGGGGTCCCGGCCTCGGCCTCCACAGGAACCGATGTCGGGACCGGAGCGGCCACAACTTCCTCAGCCGCGATAGGTTCTTCAGCCGCAATAACCGCATTCGCCCCCACCGGCTCGTCAGCCGCAAGGACTGCAGAGACAGGCTCGACCGCAGGCTCCGGGGCGACCTCAGTGGTGCTGGCCTCAGGAGCCAACTCCACATCAGCAGCCGCAACCGCTGTGCAGCCGGGCAGACAGCAGGGGTGATGTAATCGTGAGCAGTGGCGCATGATGGCAATCCCTGTGCGCTTACAGCCGTGGCCATGGGGCCCAGAGGAGCTTCCAATTGCTACATGGCATGTGGGTATACACCCCACTTGCGAATCAGCTCCAAACGCGAAGACACAACCACTCACCTTGAGGGGCAGGGGGAGCAACTGCAATGGCCACAGCCTCTGACTGGGGTTTCTCGCACACGGCCGACGGGGAAAAGACCAGGTTAAGAAAAGCAATACAGAAGAGGGGACAAAACAGCAGTACCTACGCTGCCGGGCCCAGTACATTATGCGCACATCACAGGTTTGCCGACTGCAACAACAGCACATGTGTCAAGGGTGCGTAGGGGTACGGAGGTAAATGGCGATCGCAGCCGCCCTGGCTCGCCAGGATCAGGGGCAGATAACGATATCAAAATCTCTATCGGAACCTTCTCCGGCTAGCTAGGCACGTCTACCAACATATGTGCACGAGTAACCCGGCTCAGGACTTACCTCAACAGCCGGAGCAACAAGAGCATCAATACCTACAAAATAGACATGTATTGGACAGGGTTATCGCAAAAGGTTACTAGGCTGCATGGGTTGTGGGCACAGGTATAGTGTGTTGCACGCCGACCTGCAACATTCTTTAAAGATCAGAGCAGATGGAATCAATTCCTTATCACGTGCAGCTGCTGTATCATCGGCAACACGATGATCAATCTCCCACATCCGTTGCAACCAGAAACGCCATCGATATGCGCACCGACACAAGTAGCATCATCATCCGTACCTTCAACCGAAACGTTTGCTGTCGATGCCAGCTCCACGGCAACAGAAGTGACAGTAGCTGCAGCGGCCTCGTCGGCGAGGGCCGGTGATGCAGAAGCCACGGTAACGATGGTCGAGGCTAGGAGCGAAGCCACAGCTAAGGCATGTTGCTCCCTTGCTTTGGAGGCCTCACATGTCGCAGCACATGAACGAACAACAACACACCCGCGATGCGGGGTAGGCAGCCTGGTAATTGTAGTACCTGCCTTCAACATTCCAGCAGATTTCAGTATGTGCTGCATTTTTCCAATCTATTGGTCCATGCGTGAACTTAAACTATTTGCACAAAACTCCATATGAGGTTGTGTTTATCGTACGGATATCCTGCGGCCCCAAAACGATTTCTAGCTCCTGAACCATCCACCCGCCACTTCAGATCGCCATACAATCCTTGCCATAACAAATAGTCCCAAATCAACTTGTATGCTACTATTTTATCTGCAGCTGTAACCATATTTAGCGAACAACGATGTCACAGCATATTTGGAGGACAAACGAGATCAATTGCATATTAGGTTTACGTTCCAAAGTTTGAAGGAATGGCAGGTGTGCTTGACACCTTAGTTTAACGGTCTCGTTGCCTCGAGCAAGGAACACTCAGTAAACGACCACTCGGCGCTCACTAGAGTAGACGCCTTTGGTCGTGGGGAATAATCCCTGGCAAGGAATTGAAGGTCTGTGTTCGCCATTAAGTCTCTCGCTCTCATTCTCCTCACCCGACAGCCAAGACAGGAAAGCATCTGAGAAGAACCGATGTAAATATGGGAAGAAGACGCTCAACACACTCGCTCGTGCAATCAGTTCTGTGACAAGCAATCGCCATCGACACAAAGTCAGAAATAGTGGCATAGACCACACGGTCACTCCGCGAAATTTTCCCCCAAAGAAGCCTGAGCCCCCAAGGCCGTATTAACGACTGTAAAATTTGAATTCAGATTCTATGGACCATGATATTACGTCGATGGTTTGCTCGCTGTGCGCTCACACCCTGACTGAGTTTATGAGCATCACGCTATATGCACAAGGGCGCGAAGGGTGCCTTTGACAGCCTTGCGCAAACCCTCGTGCTACCATCCGGTGGTGAGCCTGGTGATGCCCCAGAGCCTGCACCCTCACCATTAGTCAACCTCCTGGGATTCATCCTCCGATAAAGACAGGTCCCTCAGCTGGGCAAGCAGCTCGTCACTCTCGGGGCGGGTGAGGCGACCCTCCGGGTTCGGGTTCTGACTGAGCGAGTCCGATCCGTCCGCGCTGCGCCGCTGCTCCCCACTGCCGCTGCCACTCCTGTTGACACGGCAGCTTAGTGCCCTGCCGGTGCCCCGAGGTGACTGAGCCGGGTGCAATGAATCGTCCCCGGGTCCCAGGCCGCTTGCAAACTGCTTCGGGACTGCCTCATCACCAGCCGCCGTGGTTAGCGCGATCCCGGCCTTGTGCTTCTGATACCTGCAGCAATGTGCAAGGGATGATACCCCCCCACACACACATACCCATAAAGGTTATCCAACAGCCAGTGCCCCCTAACACACCGCCGCGTACATTAACGCAACTGGAAAGTAACCCCCGATGGACAGGCTTAAGCAATGCAAGGCCGTCTGTATTTTGCACAGGAAAACGAAGCCAGAAGCTGCTTGCTGAGTTCCCCGATAGTTGCACCTGACAGCTGACCGCAGTGTCGGCTCAGGGAAACAATGCTGAATGACTGACAGGTGCTCAAGCAGCATGATGCAGTCAATACTCAAAAGCCTAGGGAGGTGGACTCCAGGGGCGATCCCCGAGGGCCCATCACTCTAAAGCAACACAGCTACAGCGTCGCTACTCACAGTTGCCCCATGTGTTTAAAGATTTCCGGTGGAGGCGTCCTCGCCGGCATGCTGGCTTGCACGCTGCGGAAGTTCTCCTTGCAGAACTTCGCGAACTCGCTAAGAGGCTGCAAACAGAGGATCGCGAAAGGGTTGTGGCAGGTTGCTTGGCAGGTTGCTTGCAGTGGAGAAAGATCGAAGACAGTGTTGCGGAGGGGGGCTTGGGAGGGATACAACCGGAAATGTGCTCATCGGAGTCACACATTCACGCCATCCATATGCACGTATCCGAGCCGCCATCATAGCCAAAGACAACGTCATCATAACCAGGGACAATCATTGCCAGCTCTGGCGGCCGCGCTGCCGATGATTAAGTGACCTTTCCTGAGACGGCACTCGACACCCACCTTTGCCGCCGTGCCCCTCATGCGCCCGCCAGCGTCACCAGCGTCACCAGCCGCCGACTGGGCGCCCCCAGGCGTCACTGCCTTGGACGCCTTGAGATTTCCGTGCCTGTCAAAATTGCCAAGGTACTCTAGCCTCGAGTGGCACACACCACATAAGTGGCGATCCACGCTGAGGGTCATACGATGGCGGCCGTACTCCTTGCCGCAGGCCTCCCCGGTGCAGCGCCAGCGGTGTGCATACTGGATGGTGTAGTCATGGGTGCGGGTGATGACCAGCGTGGGGTCGTGCCGCATGAACTTGTGCGCCCAGCTCTGCCAGGCTGGGCCGTGCGGCCGGTTGTACTCGTGGCTGAGGTGCCAGGCTGGGAAAAAGATGGATTGGGGGAAGTTCTTGGCAATGAAAGGTTGCGGCAAGAAGGGAAAGAGATAGTCGATTCGGTGCGGCCCAAGTCGCGGAACTGGAAAGCCAGGGAAGCTGCTTTGATAGGATTCGTCGTTTAGTAGGTTAACAACAACAACAACACCTGTAGCCTCTCACGGCTTTCCAGCTGGCAGTAACTCACAGCAGCTACCAAGCGCCATACTCCCGGCTTATAAGAGTCTGTATCCCTAACATGCAGTTGGCGTTAACCAATCTCGGTTGTAGAACCCCCCTCCCCTCCCCCACCTGCCACGTGGCACATCTCGTGGGACAGTGTTTTGCGCAGCTTCTCCAGGCTGTCAATCAGCCGCGGGGAGAGCTCCAGTTTGGCAGGTACACGCCTAACAGGGAGGGAATGGACATCCTCGGGAAGGAGACAGTGGCGATGAGATGCTGGTACGTCTCCTCAGGTATGGAAAAGCTCGGCTGCCGCAACGATAGGCTCACACCATGGTATGCAAGGTATAAAAGGCATCCATCGGATAGAGGTGGTGCACATTACGACGATAATCCCCGGTTGTAACCTCTCCTGCCCTTGGGGGAGGGACAAGGCTGCATGAATACGGAATATGGACGTCCTCCCTATTGTGGCACATACATCATATTGGTTTCCTCCAAGCGCGTTCTGCAGCATGTCTCAGCACTCCGATGAAGCTACACTGAAGTCGTGAAATGCGGTTCGTCGAGCGGTTCAAGTGGCGCCCTTACACCACACACCTCGGGCACCGATGGTCCTGGAAGCATTCAACGTACGTACGCCAACAACCTCCTCTTCACCTGTTAGAACCCGGCAGCAACCGGTGTGAGACCACCTGGCCTGCAGTGGAAGTCAGACGGCTGTTCCAGACCAGCGGCAGGGCGGCGGGAAGCTCGCCGTCGAACACCTCCATGTTCCACCTGCAGGTTATTCCGCAGCAGAGGCAGGGGGTGAGCCGGAGGGGCCGGAGTGGAGTGCAGCGGTTCGCGCGTTGCTCAGCCTGGAGGCGGTGCCCTATATGCTCAAATGACATGATGCCTGAGACTTCGGATACTAGAGCTCTTACTGTAATTTCTAACACCACGGCGGGCCAGTCGACTCCCATAGCGACGGCGCCAAAGTAACGGTTGGTTTTGGCAACGCAGTTCAGGCCGGGTGACAAACACTTCCAGAAATTTTGTTCACTCCCCGCTCCCCTCCACAAACACAACCTTTCAAGGCACTGCATGGCGCAATAGAGGTGCCGTAGCAAGGATAGTGGCGATTGACGGACCCCTAACGTAATGAACCAGCCAGCACCAAGCCGCCGCAACTCACTTGTTGTAAAACGTTTGTGCAAGTTGCGCCCGTGACAAAAGGAACGCCCGCTGCTCCACTGCCGCCAACCCGGCTCCACATAGACCCCTCTTCGCCCTAGCCTTCCCAGCCGTGGCACCTTCACCGCCGTCCGTACGCGGTACCTCCTTTCTGCCCTTCGGCGCCTTCCCGTTACCTGGACCCTTGTCCCCCAACATCGCTGTCGTTAGCGTGCTGCCGCCGAGCTCAATCCCTGGGGTTTGCAACGACAGCGAAGGTAGCAGTACGGATGGCGTCGCCAGCGGTTGTGCCTCCTAGGCAAGCGGGCGGGCTCCAGTTCGGAGGAGCTCTTCGGAGGCACCAGTGGAACCTCGGACCCCAGATCCTGGAGGAAGCCACAGCCTTGAGTATCTAGGGAGCAGGCACGATTCCGGTCTCCAATCCATCCCATCTCTCTATTAGCAAGGGTAAAGCTGCGACTGCTATCGCTTGTTGTCCAGGTATCACTATTTAGGAGGTCCCGTACGCAGAGTATGGAATGTTGGGGTATATAGATACCCTGCGAGAGCCTGAGCGATAAGGTGACGCTGAGGGGCGATGCCGTCGCGCAACATCCACGAGCGGCGGTGACAGGGCTGACTTACCAGGTGTAATCCGGCCATTTCTGGGCTCCTTCCCTGGGCCGGCATGACCTCCACTCTGCAGCCCAGTAGCTGGCGCAGCAGGCGATTCCGGCTGCTGCTGCCGAGGTTGCTGCGGGCTGCTTGCTTCCGAGCTGGACGAAAACTCCAAGACGAATGCCCTCCGCCGGGCAGTTGTTGGCAGTCGCTTCAGGCATTCCAACTGCAGCTCCGGATCCGTATCAGGATGCCCCGAAGATAACTCCCCAAGGTGCAATGTAGAGCTCGCGCTGCGGGCGCTGGGGGTTTCTGGGCTTGTGGTGGTGCTGCGCAGTTGGGTCAGATCCATCACCTCTATTGGAACTGTCTGCGGATGCGTCAGAACATGCAGAGGCGACAGTGGGGAACAGGCTGCAGCAGGCGATGGCGACATGTCGGCTGGCAAGCCCTGTCCGCCAGCCGTGTCCTGGTGAAGCTCCTCAGCACTGGCACCCGTCAGGTTGCCACCAGCAAGAGATAAAGACTCAAGCTGGTTTAGCAGCCGCGGTGGTGGAGATCCGGAGGAATGTGACGATGAGGATGGCGAGCAAGGCGACCGCGGTGTGTCCAGAGGCAGGTCCTCCTCAAAAAATGTGTCTTGGGCATGGTCTTTAGCACCGGCAATTACCGAATCGACACCATCAAGAGGTATTTGTACGCTCTGCAGCTGGCTAA